GCTTAAGCGCTTGTATCTCGAAAACCAAAAATGTTAGAAGAATACTTTTAATTGAAGAAATATGTGAAATTTCAAAACAAGCATTTTTGCAGTTGACAACTTTTTTCTAGCTCATATAGTGTTTGAGATATGCGCCTTTAAAGTTACCATGTCACCAGGGAGGAGTAGAGGGAGTTACGCCTATATCTCTTCAGAGAAAAATCCTAGAAAATAGTTGTAAATGAGGAAAATGTGTAAAATTGAATTTTACACAACTTTGTAGCAAACAGCGTTGTTCTGGAAACGTTATTTTTCAAGATATAGCTATTTAAAGAATTTTTACACTAAAAAACCGCCTACCCTTTTTCCCATAGTTCCATTTATTCGATCCATTTCATATAAAATATCTGATTCGATTCTTTATCTATTTCCAATATCTCTTCTTCCTCCTATCCATCCACTCCTACACAAATGTTTCATTCCACCCTTTCCCCTTTTTTTCTCCTATTTTTTGCGCCGATTCTCCACATTCTTCCTCTCTGAATCACACTATTTTTGGGAATGTTTGCCTATTTTAGTGTTTCCGAAAAATCCATTTTTGGAAACACACCAATTTGTTTATCTTTGATCACTTTATGATCAGTTTGATACAATTTTAGGGACTCTGGCTTACTCATTTCTTTAGCATCGGTGCTTTATCATCTTGGATTTTTAAATTTAAAGCCAAACTTCTTAATTGAAACAGTAAACTATTTGAATCATCCATTTTCAAAATTAGTTTTATAATTCAATTCAAACTTATCAAATTATAACAATTTAGAGAATTTATTGTCAAATTTAGCTGAAATTTAGGGTTTTTAAATACAAATTCAGATGAAAATTGACATTTTTATTTTTTTTTCCAACTTTTTGAAATGTTTTATTCAAAAAATCAGTTTTTGAAATTGTTGAACCGGGAACATCATGGATAGAATTATCAAATTTTGCTGAGATTTCATGAATTTTTTATTTTGAAACAGTAATTTTTCGAGAATTTCAAAACAAATTGAAATTTCAACATTTGTATTTTTTCTGACTTTTTGGATATTTCTTAACTTTCTCAAAAATTGAAAAAAAATCATTTTTCAAATCCTGTCCTATCATCAAATTTTGCTGAAATTTTATCAAATTTAAATTTTGAAACAGTAATTTTTTCAAATAGGTTTTGGGCTAAAATGTTAAGATTTTCAGGCCATTTTTAATTTGTTTTTCTAAATTTCTGCAATATTTTTCTTTATCCGAGTAGCTTGCTACTCAGTCGATTTGTTTACTTTTTACTACTCCCACTCATTCTCATTAGTCACCTCTTTTTTATTTTGCTCTATTTTTCTCTATTTTTCTCTATTTTTCTCAGGACATCTTAAGGAAAATCTTCTTTTTTTGCAAGACAAAAAAATCGTCATTCTTCTTATTTTTCTGTTTTGTTGAAATTTTTTTCCTAAAATTTCTCCTGTCTCATGTAGTATTTACAGTACCCCCGAAATGTCTGAAATTTCATTTTTGAAACAGTAATTTTTTAGGTTGTTTCTAGAACTACATAGAACATTCTGGTGACAGGAAGACGCACTAATTAGTTTCAGTTTTCTGAAAAAGAATTTCTCAGATTTCAAAGGAAAACGAAAATATAAGAATTTCTGTTTTTCCTTCTGATTGGCATGTATTTTTCGAAAAATCTTGAAATTTTAGCTTTCAGCCTAGTCTGAAATTATGTGCGGATTTTCAGATTTTCAGAAAACTCGAGATGCCAGTTTTATAGTTCCATACGACACAGAACAGTGAAAATTTTATTAACTACAATTTTTGTTCAAAAAAATTTGTAACAGTAATTTTGTAATTTTTTGAGAATCGTATTCGAAAAATGAGTTTTTTTTTTTTCAATTCCGAATTTCTGAATTTCGGAATTTCTGAATTTCGGAATTTCTGGATTTCGGAATTTCAGAATTCCTGAATTTCTGGATTTCAGAATTTCTGAATTCCTGAATTTCTGGATTTCAGAATTTCTGAATTTCTGATTTCTGAATTTCGGAATTTCTGAATTTCGGAATTTCTGAATTCCGTAATTTTTGAATTTCGGAATTTCTGAATTTCTGAATTTCTGAATTTCTGAATTTCTGAATTTCTGAATTTCTGAATTTCTGAATTTCTGAATTTCTGAATTTCTGAATTTCTGAATTTCTGAATTTCGGAATTTCTGAATTTCTGAATTTCAGAATTTCAGAATTTCTGAATTTCAGAATTTCTGAATTTCTGAATTTCTGAATTTCTGAATTTCTGAATTTCTGAATTTCAGAATTTCTGAATTTCAGAATTTCAGAATTTCTGAATTTCTGAATTTCGGAATTTCTGAATTTCTGAATTTCTGAATTTCGGAATTTCTGAATTTCTGAATTTCTGAATTTCTGAATTTCTGAATTTCTGAATTTCTGAATTTCGGAATTTCTGGATTTCGGAATTTCAGAATTCCTGAATTTCTGGATTTCAGAATTTCTGAATTCCTGAATTTCTGGATTTCAGAATTTCTGAATTTCTGAATTTCTGAATTTCGGAATTTCTGAATTTCAGAATTTCTGAATTTCAGAATTTCTGAATTTCGGAATTTCTGAATTTCTGAATTTCTGAATTTCTGAATTTCAGAATTTCTGAATTTCTGAATTTCTGAATTTCTGAATTTCTGAATTTCTGAATTTCTGAATTTCGGAATTTCTGAATTTCAGAATTTCTGAATTTCAGAATTTCTGAATTTCAGAATTTCTGAATTTCTGAATTCCTGAATTTCGGAATTTCTGAATTTCAGAATTCCTGAATTTCTGAATTTCTGAATTTCTGAATTTCTGAATTTCTGAATTTCTGAATTTCAGGATTTCTGAATTTCAGAATTTCTGAATTTCTGAATTTCTGAATTTCTGAATTTCGGAATTTCTGAATTTCTGAATTTCGGAATTTCTGAATTTCTGAATTTCTGAATTTCTGAATTTCTGAATTTCTGAATTTCTGAATTTCTGAATTTCTGAATTTCTGAATTTCGGAATTTCGGAATTTCTGAATTTCGGAATTTCTGAATTTCGGAATTTCTG